TTTAACGTTATCATATTCAAGGCCTTGAAAGAATTGTCAGTGTCTTGTTCAAAAATACTTTTCATTGTAAAGTATTTTCTTTCGGTTGACCGCTTTTTGAAAAAAATTTGTCGAAAAAAAAATACGTCAAAAGGTACCTATTTTTCGCTCAATTTTATATTTTATTGTGCTTACTGACATTCTTGAACACTGAATGATAATTATTCTAAATCATCTTTGAATATCTAACATTATTTTATCAGAAACACAATGGTCAGCCACAACAACGCAGTGCCACAATCAAAGTGGAAGAAACAATGGACTAACAGAACCAAGTTGTTCTTCGATCAGCCAGCCAAGGCCAAGAAGAGACAAGAATTGAGAATCAAGAAGGCTAAGAATGTTTTCCCACGCCCAACTGAATTGTTACGTCCTGTTGTTAGACTTTCCGGAAGAAGATATAACAGAAGAGTTGTTTTGGGAAGAGGTTTCTCCGTCGAGGAATTGAAGCAAGCTGGTATTCCTCTCCAATTCGCCAAGACCGTTGGTATTGCTATTGATACCAGAAGAAGAGATTTGAGTGAAGAGAGACTCCAAGCTAACGTTCAAAGACTTCAAGAATACAAGCAAAGAATTGTTTTGTTCCCAAGACAAAAGGGTACTCTCAAGAAGGGACCAATTGCTGACAGTGAAACCACTAAGGTTGAATCCCAAGTCAAGGGTACTGTTTTGCCAATCAAGAAGGAAGTCGCTGCAGTTGAAACCAGAGAAATTACAAAGCAAGAAAAGGAGTCTAGCGCTGTTAGAGCTATTGTCAAGGCTAGAAAGTCAATTAAGCAATACAGCTATCTCCAAAAGAAGAAGAACAAGGTTACCACTCAAGCTCCACAAGGCACTGTTACCACTGATGAACAATAAGCATTTAATATTAATAACACCAAAATAATTTTAAATTCAATTCTTTAATTTTTTTTTGATTTCCTCCTCCAGATCAAATTTGTCTCGTTTCTTTGTTGAGTTTGCTCGTAACGGAGGAAGCGTGCTCCAGTGGCGATCAAAGATCTTTTTGCATTCAGATTCAATATAGGACTTCAATTCTTCCTCTTCTGAGGGAGTCCAGACCTTACCACCATTATTGTTGTGATATAGGGTTTGATTGTTGTTCACAATACTGTTACAGGGAGATGGCAACTGCTGGCATGTGGACAGAAATGTACTTGTTTGTTGTTGCAGTTGATAAAAGAAGGTCTCTGGTATCGTTGCATCCAAGGGACCTGAAGATACAGACATCTGAAATTGGGGTGTGTTTGGTGGCATTAGAAATACACCTGAATCTAAGGAATTGAGTGATTGATCAACCTCAGAAGGAAACGTGCAAGGTTTCAACAATGATGGCCACTCACCCGATGACAACATCACATTTGATGGATACATAGCCATCAATGATTGAGGTGTTTGTGGCTCTTGTGGAGACAACAGCAACCGCTGACAGGAGTCTGTCGAGTAGGTTGACGCACTCTGCTCATCACTACAACCTTCCCCAAACAGAAGATCCAACCCATCCAAATCCTCTTGATCGTCATGGTTGTTGCTTAGATTGACAAAATAATTGAGGTTGATGAATGAGTGAGTTGGATCCAAAGTGTTATTATTGGTTGTTTGCATTCTTTTATAATTTAATAAGGCAGGAATAAAAGATTCATATAAGGGAAATTCCTCTTATGTCCAATCTTAACACACTACAAAAAATTCACGAAAATCGGTAAATGGTGTGAACATTATTCATGTCGGGGCTCAATACACAAAATCCTTGTTCGTGAAACTGTTGTAGAGTTAAATCCAACACATCTTCTTCTACCATTTTTGGAGTCTGTCCAAGAATGAATTGTTTAAATTCATGGAGTGGAATAGATCCACTTTGTGTCTTTCTGATCAAATGATTTCTCAAGTAGGACACATAGTCAAAATTTGGAGGTGTGATGTTGTTGTTGTTGTTGTTCTTATTCGATGAGTCTTTTTTCTTTTTCTTGGATGGAAGTTCAGAAAGAGTCATCATTTGTTGACGTTTCATTCCACAATTTAAATAGTCCAAACTACTGTCAAATATGTTAAAAATCATTTCGACATCTTGTTCAAGGATTTCATCGCGTAAATGAAGTTTTGCAAGAGCTGCAGATAAACGAATAAGGGATTCTAGAGTTCTAGGAGTAATAGGTGCATAGGTCTTTCGTTGGCTATTTACATTCATGAACTGATTTCGTAGCTGTACATATTTTTGTGAAATCATTTCTCTGGATTTGTCATTGAGAATGGGAAAATGTTTGGTCTTGGCATATTGAATATACTTTTTAAGGATATTGAGGGGAACAAAAAGGGATGAATCAAAATTCTCTGATTTTTGATAATATTCTCAGCATCAGAGTAGCTAATTTCATCAGCGTAATCCTTCTTAAGAGAGAAGAGAGTACTATTCAATTCGTCTTTAAGAAGTTCTTGCTTCAATGAATCATGAAAATATTTGTGAGAGGAAAGAACATGGGTGGCAATTTCTCTGTCGAGAAGGGAGTCATTGTCATCGGTGAGTACAAATACAAGATCAAAACGGGAGAGGAGAGAATCTGGAAGTTGAATATTTCTCTGAATGGATATACTTCTGTCATATTTTCCATAGATTGGATTGCAGGCTGCCAGTACAGAGCATCTAGCATTTAGAGATACTGCAATTCCAGCCTTAAATACTGAAAATGTCTGTTGTTCCATGACTTCATGCATGTGAACTCTCTCAACATCAGTCATTTTGTCCAGTTCGTCAATGCAAACGATTCCTCCATCTGCCAATACCATTGCTCCTGCTTGGAGAGTTCTTTCGTTCGTTGATGAGTCAGAAACAACTGCCGCTGTTAAACCTACTCCACTTGACGATCTTGCATTTGCTGAAATTGCTAAGGGTGATGTGTTTAACACAAATCGTAAAAATTGAGATTTTGCTGTGGAGGGATCACCAATTAATAAAATATTGATGTTGCCTCGTATTTTTGTAAATGTGTCTTCAAATTTCTTTTCAACTCCGCCAAGCATTAAAAGAAGCAGAGCTTTTTTGACAATGTCATGCCCGTATATTGAAGGAGCTACAGAGTTGGATAAAATGTCGAAAATATTCGGACATTGGGAGAGTTGATGAATTAATACTCCATCTTTGACAGATATGTCGTTTAGGGGTGAAATGTATCCTTTGATTTTGTCAATGTTATTTACAATTAAAGCAAGTTTGGCAACTGATTGTTTCCTATTTGATTGGCCTGGTATCGATAGAACTCTGTAAATCCCATACACTTTGACTCTATCACCAGGCTTAATTGTATCACATAAATCACATTCAAGGATGCATTCCACAGATCTAGGAAGTTGTCCAACAGGAGATTTTTCTGGTAAATCCTGTAAGACAATCTTCTGAGTATCCACAAAATCTGAAAGTCCAAATTCAAAGTCCAAAATATTTCCTTCTGAATCCTCCACTGGTATTGGGTTGATAAAGAAATTCTCTGACGAATTATTATTTAAATATTCCACTTTCAAAAACTTTTTTGTAGCTTCGCAATAATGAATTGAGCTTAACAGCCTCTGGCAAATCGATGAGCCTGTACATGTCAATATTGTGTCAATATTTTTGAACGATAAACACCTTAAAAACACTTACAACTAGTAATGATTCCTTCTACACAGACAATTTTTCCTATATGACAGGACTGTAAAAACCTAGGAGAGATGTGATGCATTGCATTTCCTGTAAGGCCTATGAAATTCCTAGAGGATGTATTCATATCAAAATATTTACTATCCATTCTTTGTATTTCCTCGTTCAATGCCAGTTCAAAAGTCGGTATGCAGCTCGAAGGCTCCATCTGTAATTTAAAACAAAGTGCTGGGTCAAAATCCCGAATATGATTCAAATCCACAACTAGCCTAAAATAATCATTGGTCGTATGTGGTTGCTGTAATGATAGCGATGTTTTGGAAAGTAATCCTTTTATCCGAGAATGATAGATATTCTCTCCCTATTTTTGTTTCATCAAATAATTGAAGAAATTTTCGAGAATGATAACCATTTGAAAATAATTGAATATATTATATCCGGAGCATGTATTCATGCTACTCATCATAGACTCTCCTACTACTCACATTCTCTTGAAACGATGAAAGAAATTGTCGAAACCTTTGATGTCGGAGCAAAGTCTCCCCATCATTCATTTTTTTTAATGTCCTTTCTTGCTGTTGTGAGGGTGGAAGGATCCTTGCTTTGAGAGCAATCAAACACAACAGAGTCTCCAACTAAAAGTCTCCATTCCCTTGAAATCTTCATGGACAATAATCTCTTCAATCATGGATTTTATCAATGAATTACTCTTAAGCTTCTTCTTTTACCGTTCAAGAAAAAAAATGAAAAGAAAAATGCCTCAACCGAAAATGAAAGCAGTTCGTGGTGGTGGTGGTGGAGGCTTTGCATCTTCTTCTTCTTCCAACAACAACAACAACAATCGTCCCAAGAAGGTCAAGAAGGCTCAATCCCATCAGGCAGAAATTCTTCAAAGCTCGGACAGGATCATGCAAAGTATTTTATCGTGTTTTGAATTATCGGAGGTGTTGAATGAGATGGCTTTTGTTTCTTCCAAGTTTTATAAAGTGAGCAGAAGTGAGCAATTTTGGACGAATTATAATGTATGGGCTTCCGTTAGGGATCCTCCTCCAATGTTTTATGCTAATTTATTTATGAAGTGTTTTGGTGCTCGCTGGACCAGTTTGACCTTGTCGAGTGAAGCGTTCGACTCATTCAAACGAAGAAATAATCAAGTGAACATTCCAAACTTTAACAATTTGAAGATCTTAGAATTTGAATGGAGTTTTGATCAGATTTCTAAAGAAAAAGAGAATGATATTGTGTTGAGCAATTTGGTAGACTTGTTGTGCAATACTCCATCTTTAACACAATTTAACCTAAAGCTAGCTGGTGAAACCATTCCAAATTTTTCAAGCAATGCTCTTGACAGTGTGAAGAAAGCAGTACAAGGCGCTTTTAAATTCAAAAACGTCACAATTGTCTTGGGTGGAGTTCTTGAGGAAGGAAGTAACAATATTGTGAGTGAGTTCATGTCACAACTATTGATGCGATCATGTTCTACTTTGGAAAGCTTAATTATTCGTTCTATTGATGGAATAGATGCACAAAAGTATCTCAAATCGATCAAATATCCAGCACTGAAAAATATTGAAATCAAACTTGTTGAAAGAGGTTGTTCAACTGATGAAATGTCACAAGCCATTGAAGAAATGATTGTGAATAATGCGGACCATCTCGAGAGTATTCAAATAGAAAATGATGAAAGTGTGAATATTGCATCTTTGGTGAACACTCTCTTGACCCTCTCTTCTCAATCCAAGCTCATAAAACTTAAAAAGCTAATCCTTGGTGGATATGAATCTACGGATACCTTTAATACTACAGATGTACAAACTTTGAGTGGTGCCCTGTCAAACTTGGAAACACTTGTTATGAAAGATGTACCATATGGCGCATGGTTAAGAAATTTCTTGCAATCTGTTGTAAAACATTCCAAAAAGTTAAAAGTTATCAAGCTGAAAGGAATAGAACCTTCCGAACCCAATGGATACGTTGACGATTGTTTGAATGACATAATTTTACCTACTTCCATAACAAAGTTTTCTTTAAAACGAACACCAGTAACAGACAAATTGCTCAGACAGTTGCTCTCTGGAGGTCAATATACCAATTTAAAAGATCTTTCCTACGGTACAGAGGGAGTTGACTTTTTCTACATTAATGACAGTGGATTGTCTGAAGATACCCTTAATCACATCCTTCCACTCTGTACACGATTAGAAAGCCTCTGGATTTGTGATTCCAAGGTCAAGCATTTACTTCCTATTGTCGCCAAGCATACACCTAATTTATTGTCACTTTCATATCAATGCCTAGAATATAGAGGCAGAGAGTTAGTGGAGAATTATGAATCGCCATCTCCAAACATTTCTCCGTTGTTATCGAACCTCATGACGTTAGAATTATTGATTACGTGTAGCAATGATGAGCTGGCAAGAATTTTATCTTATACTCCCAACATTTGCTATTTACAATTACTCTCCAGTAACTTATCTGGCCAGGTGATTGAGGTGTTGTCAGAGTCGAAATGTGCCTCAAAAATTATGGGCATTTCATTAATTGATCCATATTATGAGGAAAAGAGGCCATGTATCTGTGACGCTGAGAAAAGCGAGTTAAAGAATCAAAAATTCAAACTTGCCAACATGTTCAAAAGGTTAGAAACTTTAGAATACTCAATTGGACATCATTTAGCATCTCTCAACTTGATGATCGCCATTGTTTGTTACTCTCCAAATTTAGAGGAGGTGATATTGAATGGAAGAAACATTTTAGAAGGCGTTGACATGGACAACTTGTGCATGGAAGAGCTCGTTGACTTAATTAAGCCACACTTAAAAAGAAGAAGAAGAACCAGGAGGTTGACGAATTTAGCTTAATTGTTGATATTACAATTCCTAAAATAGCAGATCAACTAAAAGCGAGACAGTTCTCGAAAGATAGAATTGGAGATCTGATAGAAACATCAGTTGCATTAGTGAGCGGTGAAATTAATGAACGTGTCGAGTATCAAGGTATTAGCTTGATTCATCATTTACTTTTGAATGCTCTGAATGGTGATGATAATGACGCAGAAGAACAAATGAAAAGCAAACAAACTACAGAGGACGAAGATTGGGAAGATGAAGAATAAATTATTTATAATTTAATTGAGACTGATTTGCCTTGAAGAGTAATTTCCTTTTTCAATTCATTTTGAGAAAGTCCACAATTTCGAACACAAAGAGTAGACAGAGACGAGGATATTTTCCCAACAAGTTTGTCTTCCTGGCTAGCAACGAACAAATATTTCATACCCTTAATAGTTATCTTGGTGTAGTCGAGATCAAGAATTGAGATTGATCCATTCTTGGAAATATTTTTCACAACCTCATCTGAAATATCTGTTCCTGTGAGCCTGAGATGACTTAATGATTCGTGTTGTGAAATATTTTCAAAAACATCTGGCGTTAATCCGTTATTTTTGCTTAAATCAAGATGCTTGAGACGAGGAAGGTTGCTCAATAATGACTTCGCCAACTCTGGTGTGATGTTACAATCTTCAAGTACAAGTGAGGTGATAGTTTTTACATTAGAGATCTCTGTAGGAATCTGACATCCGCTCAAATTTAGATGTACAAATGGCCTATATTTTTCCGAGTCCACTTGAATGATTGATAATACTTGAGATTCGTTTAGTTGGTGATTAACCAATTCCAGAGAATGTAATTTTCGTAACTTGCTGAAGATGTTGAACTCTGTTGAAGGAATACCAGTTCGAAAAAATTTTGTTAATTTTAACTCTCTCAATGTGTCGTTATATTTCTCTCCATTCTCGGTTTTGTTAAGTAAGTAACTTAGGCCGTCAAAATCAACTCTAGTGACTTTCACATTTAGGCTTTGTAAGTTTGGGTTTCTGGCCATTAGGTATTTTAAACATCGATTATTGAACGAGGTATTTCCACTAAAATCAAAAGAGATTATATTAGTAAATGTAGATAACACTGTTCTTATTTGTTTCGTGTTGAGAGGAGTTTCTTGATCGTATTCATAGCTTGATTGAATACCACAATCAAGATTTTTCCACAACAAGAAGGGTGCTGAAGACGTTTCAACATTAGATCCGGCATGATCCTCTGTGCAGTCCATATCTGATGCGGATGATGATTGATTCAGTTGTTTTTTACGCTTTCCGAATAATAATTTTGTTATTTCCTAATGTTTTTAATGCTCGGATCAACATTTGTTCTAAAGGAAAACTTACCTTCCATGTCTGAATGAGAACTATGTTTTCCTTGATAAAACCAGGAATTAGTTGATTATCTTTCTTACTTTCCGAAACTAGTTGTTGGTAATCATATGTAAGTTGTCTATTTTGATGATGAAAAAAACGCTTCAAATAAGAAGCAAGAGGAAATGTAATAAAACTGAAAATATGTTTCACTATTTCATCTGGAAGTATATGCTGTAATTGCACCATATTTGTGGAAAAGTCATTCACAAAGTAAATCTTTGAAAGGTTTGCCAAGTTTGCAGGATTTGCACTGGTCTTCGCATCTTTCATCAATACTGATTCCATCACAAAATATTTCTCATGATTAAATATTCTCTTCTTTTTTGACAAATATTGATCGTATTGATTTGGTGATGAAGTATACCTAGGAAGGCTTGAATCCGATTGTATTAGCGAAGATGTTGAATTCATAGCCAGTGATAAAGCATTTGATGATGATCCAGGAACATCTCTTAACATGGACAATGATGATAAATTTCCAGCATTTTGTTGTTGAACTCCACCCGATGATGCCACCATATGTGCAACTGATTTTGGATTTGGCTGACCACCACCAGAAGAGGAAGTGGTTGCCGACGCTGATGATGCAGTGGCCACGTTTGAGGGAGGAGGAAGCATTTTTTGGCGCTGGAATTTATTGAATTTTTTGAATGGTAATTTCATCCTCCTCTGTGGGCGGAAGAATTCAAAGCATTGATAAGAATAGTGTCTGTCTCAAAAGAACCCTTTATTTCACCTGATGGATTCACACTAGCTCTTCACAACAAGACAGTTTGAGCGCTTGAGGTCCGTCGAGAGATCCTCTTTCATCTCAAAAGTGCACTCTCCTTCCTCAAGAAAAAATGTCTTCATCTTCCCCAACGCTTTCATGTTTGCCTGCCATTGCTGTTTCAAAGGAAGAAGGCTTGATTGCGTTCAGTGTTGGACCTAATATTCATATCTTTGATAAGAGGTAAGAGGAGATGAATATTTACGTTATCGGAACCTTTTGTTGTTAAACATGTAATTGTTAATGATGAATGTTAATGAATGAAATATTGACTCAAAAAAGCCTGCAAAAGGAATTGTTGAATCATAAATTGGAAAAGACAAATGTCAAGTCAATGCTGTTTGAAGGAAAATACTTTGTTGTGGCATCAAGTGAAGATAAATCCGTTCTTGTGTTCTTGTTGAATGATACCAATACACAATTGAAGTGTGTTGGAAAAATTGAATTAGTGAAAAAACCTAGTTGTTTGGCTGTTCATCCAGTTACTAAAGAATTGTGGATTGGAGACAAATTCGGAGATGTTTATGCCATTAATTTATTGACCGAATTTGATTCCAACAATGCTTCTCCGAAACTCATCAAAAAACCTGCTCCTAAAATGGGTCATCTTGCAATGTTGACAGGATTAATTCTTAATGAGAAATATGTTGTCACTAGTGACAGAGATGAAAAAATCAGAATTACTAATTATCCTGAGTATTTCTTGGTTCATAACTTTTGTTTGGGACATACTGAAATGGTCTCATGCATTTCTCAAGCAGATGATGGCTGTAAGTGGAAAATTCGATTCTATCTAAACATTAATCATGACATTTTTCAAAAAAGTGTTGGTCAGTGCAAGTACTGACAATACTCTCAAAGTTTGGAAATATTTACTTGACTCTGATGATGCTCTCAAGTTCAGTTTCGATTGTAGCGAAAATAATTATCCAAACGTTTTGCAATGTATGACGATTGGTGGTTTAAAGTTTGTTTTTGTCCTGTATGAACAAGCCGACTACATTCAAGTATTGCAACTCAACACAGAAACATACGAATTAGCTCCAAAATGTACCATTCCAATGGGTTGTGAAATTTTGAATTTCCTTGTTTATCAGGTTGATAACAAGACACAAATCACTTTATTCACAGCTTCCTCTCCAAATGTGCATGTTGCCGATCTTAGTGTAAAGGAATCTGGTGACTTGAGTATTAACACTGTTCCATCCCATGCCATAACTATTGAATCATTCAAAAAAGAAGATTTTGTTTCAGATAGCATCTATTCAAGCTTGATCAGAAAGATGGATTCAAAGAAGAATGAAAACGAAGGAGAAGACAAGCAACCAAAGAAAAAGAAGAAGGATAAAAAGTAATGAAATACTGATCCATCTCACCTCTTCTTTGATCTCTTATGGTCTTGATAAATTTCAGTCTCGTCATCTGAACAGTCAATAATATTTTCATCGTCATCTAGCAAAATGAGCTCATCATCAAATTCTTCCGTTTTGACATTGCTTGTTTGCCGAGTTTGATTTGGTGACCCTCTAGTAGAGTTGGCATTATTGGTTGCTTGCCTATTGTTCTTGATAGTGTTAATGTTTGACTCAATTTGTTTCTTCAACTCCAATTTTCCACTCAGTTTTGAAGCTAAATTGCTTTTAAAGATCTTCTTTGCTTCTATTAATTCATCAACACCACCTCCTAGAACTGTAATGCTCTGAGGAATGAGCAACAAAATACCTCTCCGCACCAACACATTAGAGATCTTCACTTTTGTTCCTAATTCTGTTTTTAAAGAAATTGAGTCTAACGGCTTGTACTCAATCGCTTGAATGTTATTTACATGGCCATCACTGAGAGCGAATTTGAGTAATCTTCTACTATAGTTTGAATTGGTGTAATCTTTCTTTGGTTTAGCTCCTTGTATTTCAGTTTGTAAAGCATCAGAAAAAAGTAAATCACCCTCTTCCATTTCTTCATTCGAGGTATCAACCAATTCCTTGTCCATATCAATTTGATCCGTCATTGGGATACCAATATCCCAAATATCATTAATTTGTAAAACAAAAGGCCCTTTTAATATCTTTCCGTGTTCTTGTTCTAGATTGGAAAATAGAGAATAATTCGGAGAAGGTTTTTGAGCAATCTTGTCATAATCGGAAACAAGAAATTGTTTAAAAACAGAATCTTTCATTCCTGCCAAATTATTTCTCAAATAGGGTTCTTCACTTTCAACAAATTGGATACATTGTTCCAACCAATCATCCAATATGTAAATCTTCTCGGAGAGAAGATACGATTTAATTTGTGATTGCATTTTTTTTTTTTTTTTATCACTGTCCATGCGTTTATTTGTTCGAAAATTCAAACGTTATTCATGGCTGTGTGTGCAATTAGTACAGTTAAAGGTGGTTCATGTCATCAAAGTTAGTGTAATTATTGTTGTAAATTTCAATTATTGTTTGTCATCAAGGTTAGTGTAAATTTCAAATATTGTTGTAAATTTCAATTATTATTCATGGTCGTGGGTATTTCATGTATAGTTTAAACTTGTTCAAATCAATGAAATTAGGATTAAAATCGTATTGTTGTTCAAATTCATTCCAGGTGAGTTTCAATTCTTCCATGAAAAAATGATTTCGTTTCATCCACATTTTAGTAATAGATCGATAAGCTTCCTTAGTAAATACTTTGTCCCATTTCTTACCCAATCCAACTTTAGCACCTGTTAGGCTATGGATATCTTGTTTAGTCTTGATGAGGTACAATAGTCGTTTGGAGAACTTCTTGTTATTCTTTGCATATATTGAGATATTATATAAATTCCTAAACATTTCTTTTCTTATATCACTATAGTATTTACATTCAAAAATAATGTGTTGCATTGTCTCTCTACTACAGCAAGGACATAGCAAGTTCGTCTTGGATATCTTGTTTAAATTTTCCAAAGTCTTCATCACGTTCACTCTAATTTTAAATATTAGATTTAAGGTTCTGAAACCGATTCCTATTGAGGGGTAAATGTTGGTGAACTTTCTGTTCTTGGGAGGAAGGTTCTTTGGCGTATATGTTCTTTTGTGGAGGCGTTGAAATATAAGTTTGTACATTGTTTGTCTAGTGTTTTGAGTGTATAATACATTGTTGATAATAATATACCAATTATTGGATGGAATATTAGTAAGAATATTGTTACAATCAGCACCTTTCTTAGCAGCCCTATCTGCTAATTCATTTATGCGGCTATAGATATCTTGTTTACCTGTATGACTATTAACATGCATAATTTTGATCTGATCCTTCATTTTTAAATAATTACGAATTTCTTCAACATAAGGATCTCTAGATTTTCTGAATTGGAAAAGTTGGTCATAAATACTTTTCGCATCTATGACTATTGTTCTAGGAGTGTTGTTATCTAGCAATCTAACAACTGTGTGGAGCGCTTGAACTTCACTGTTGTAGGAAGTTCCTTGTCCTAAGGTGTGACTTGAGATGGAAACATTCTGATCAGTTACGATACCGTATCCAGCAATATTATTGTTACACGATCCGTCAGTACCAATTAGTGTAGCTTTGTTCAAGAGGTTTGACATGGATGTGTTGTTACCAACATATTTGTAGTATTTGCTTTCGTCTTTGATTTTTCCAAAATCCATGCTATTGAGAATGTTGTGAATTTGGGTGACATGATTGGAATGTTTGATGTCATTATGTAATTTCACTTGTAAATTTTTAGGGTCAGGAACCCACATACTTAATCTGTTCCAATCTTTATAGAGCAGGAATTGTCTTAAACCTTTAGGGAATTTTCCATAAGGGATGAGAGTTTTTTCATGCCATTGGTCACTCGAATGCCACAATCTAATATTGGAAGATTTGTTCATGAAAATTATTCTCTTGAGATATTGAGGAATCCATGGGTCTGGTTTATACCAAGTAGGGATTGGATCATTGAGGATGTCAAAACCATGCTCCTGTTTGATTCGTTCACAAAGGAATCTTGTAGAAGATCCAAGACAAATATCATATTGTTCAAGGAACTTTCTGACTTAACACATTAGGTCCGAGTAACTCATTTCTTGAACAGAAATTAATCCAAGTCCACCTTTGTCTTGATGAGTATAAAACCACTCGAGAGCTAATTTTCTCTTGGTTCTTAATCTTTCACATATAAAGTTGCGAAAGAATTTATCAATTTGTTTCTCTAGATGGTCATTAGCAAGAGGAATTAGGTGGTACAGTGCATACGGAACAATGTCTGTGTTGATAATTTTGACAATGTTCTGTATTGGAAAATTCCAGCCAATAGAGTTTGTTCTTCTTTTAACTTCTTCAATAATTGAAGTAGTGTATTTCTTTTGTTCCTCAGTATTATTGGTAATATTATTACCAAGTATAATAATAGAATCATTACTTTTGATCGTACTTCCAGATAATGTCTTGATACTACATTCCTTATCAGAGAAGAGGTTAGTTTTGGAATGATCTAATTCCATGTGATAGCCATGAAGATAGGTTTCAATGTCATGCAAAGAATTTTCAATTTCAGGTAGTTCGTTGGAAAATGAGTTCAAATCATCAATCCATGCGCCTGTACTAATGTTCCAATAATTTGCAACACTAGCACCATTATATGTTATTTCTAAAAATTGTAAGAGAGGCTCAAGCGCAATTTTGAATGCAAGGGGAGAGAAGGTGTCGCCTTGTTTCAATCCATCTTTCACATTGAAACATTCAGATTTACCATTAGGTAAAACAAACTTTGTCGTAGATTCACCTAATATTTCCAGAATTCCATCAGCAGTAATTTCATCAATCCCTAAGAATAGCAGTCCATCACGAAGCATAATTCTCGGTAATGAGTCATAAGCTTTTTTG